GTGGTAACCTTTGTGACCACATCTGCTTAAGTAATGCTTCGTCTAACTTGTATGAGCCTGTTAGTTGTCTCATATGTCTAAGCAACTGTGAAGGTTTTTTGTCCCCTAACTCGCATGCGGTGAGTAGTTGCCGTAAGCGTTTTTCGTCAGACTGCGAAGTACGGTGGATTACTACGGCTTTTGTTTTGTCATAGGGGTCCGTTTCTGGTATGTTATCTATCAGGTCCCCGACTTCCGCTTCTACTTCTATAGATAGTGCACCAACGATGTGGGCATATTTAGTCGCTTGCGAACGTATACCTCTCGCTAAAAATAATGCCTCAACCTGTGAAAACCAGATCCTGGGATTATTAAAACCTTACGTTGGTAATCTTAGTTCAGAAATAGCGTTGATTGAGTTTAAAACATTATCTTCTGGCTGAGATGAATGAAAGGGGTTGGTTGATGGGCTATCTATATCAATAAGTTTATTAGGAGAGTTCATAATGCCAAAAACAAAAAATGGTGTGTCGTGCCAATTAAAAATAATAAAAAAATATGTAGATATATATAATAGATGTCCATAAAAAATCGAGGCTCACCAAATAATTGTGGTGGACCAAAAAGTATAATAACCAAAAATTAGCGATAAAGTTATTACGTCCAAGAGTTAATGTAACAATAACAATTTCTAGAGTAGTAACACAAAATAAAAGTTCAGGGACGTTACTTAAATCAGCTAGTTGTTGCGTGTTCCGTTGAGCTTTGGTCCCAAAAATCCACAATTATAAATTATAAATAACTCCAATGAGATAAATATGACTCCAGTAAGTTTCTTTGGCGTAGGATATAATAAAAATGGCACAGCAGTCTAAAATGTGGATAATATTCGATTTAGAATGCGATTGACTCGATAAGGCATGAGAATAGAACAATGAGCGTGTGTGTGTAGCAATGTATTTGTTAGCAAGCAACCATGTGTCACGCTATGTAGTAGCACAACGGAAAGTGTGTCCAAGGTCATTTACTAAAACAACGGTTACAGTCATTTAATGTTAAATATACATACAGTGGAAGGTTGACAAAATAAATACAAATAACATTGAAAACTATTTACAAAATAAGGTTGTCAGGCCTATCTCCACAGGAAGCTACACTTGAAGCATTCTTAAAATTTCTGTACCCAGGATAGATAATGAGGGACTCGCAATTAAAGGGTGTAACATTTTCGTCTGTAGTCAACGAAATACAGAACACAAGAATAAAAAGTTTATAATCAGTGATACTAGAAACGAAATTTAGATTATAGCATCAGGATTTAATGACTTCAACTTCCCAAGCGAAATGATGTAATTAATACTGCCAGTTTCAACAATAAAATAGTAAAAAGCACCACTGGACAAATGTAATCGTTTTCGAATACGAAGTTGGAAATAAAAATAATATATATTCATTAGCATCACCCAAGTTAATAAGATCTGTATTACAAAGTTTAGCATTATTTGAAGCTCACTTGATGTGTCCGATATTACAACACATAAAGCATTTAGCATGATGAAATACACATGAATTACGTGTGTGAAGTTCACCACAGGACAAACATTTACCAAGCTTGTGCTCACCCTTGTCACCTGCTTTGAAAATCCTCACTGAATTGTTATCCATGTTTCCACGAGAACGAGTGTTATGGTCAATTAAACGCCTATCTTTATGGCCTTGAGTACAAGTTGAATTCGTATAACTAAGCACTGTATTAGGATTCTTGATGTCCTAGAAGTCAATTTCACGCACTGCCTCATAATTAATACACACAGTTCTAGCATCTTGAAAAGAACACTTCGACATTTGTATGAACGTTTTTTCCAGTTCTGAAACGTTATTCTCTGAAATCAATCGATCACGCTGCTGAACATGAAGTTGATCACCAAAATTACACTTTGCAGCTTGTTTCTGCAATTCAAGAGTAAACTGTCTAACCTTTTGATTGTTTTGACGAATCACTTCGTGAAATTTTGCTCTTCCATGACATTCCAAGATAGTACACTTTAGATTATTTAATAGTAGCATGTTAATTAAGAGTATGTGAATTGTAATACAAACTAGGAATTGCAGAAGCGACGCAATTTAATCAACAAGTACTATATAAGCACGAACGAATGTGTTGTATTTGGAATTCGAAATCAATCATTCAACAGGTACAGAGGGATCGTTAGTTCGTACAGACACCACATGTAGTTATTTCAGAGTTGCATTATTTATTTGTTTATTAATTTCAACACATAGATATTGGTACAAAGAGATATCAAATACATATGCGCCACACAAATCTCATTCGATATGTGTGAAATAGGCTTATCTGGGAATACCAAAATTCTTAGTAGGCTGTAGGCATCTTTTTTTATGAGCGTAAGGAAATGAGCCACAATTTTATCATCCTTAACATTTTTCCAGGTCATATTCCAGATTTCAAAGCTTTCCATGTCATTTTTGAGAACATAAGAATTTGAACATATTTCCAACTGTTCAAACATACGCTATATTGCGACGCCCATGTGATAATTAGAAGTATTCGGATTATTGCGATATCTAAGAATTCCTCAAATAGTGCACTTTGAGGCAAGTAGAATTTTAAGAGCGCAAATGAACGTATTATATTTATAGTTCATGATGAGCGCGCAATCAAGCACAAAGGAATCATCAGTTGGTACAAATACCACAATCCGTCTTCGTTGTCGTGCAAATTTCATTCCATCGTTTGAGTACATTGGATTATTTATTATCTCTCTCACTTCTCATCCTCCATGGAGGATGAACTGTATTTGCCAGTACAGTTAATGTCGTTCTGATGTGTTGAATTGTGACAACAAACTGGTCACAACAAACAACGGAATAAAAAAACAAAACTCGAGCTCCAAAAGGATAAGAACACTCTGGAGCCTATCCAACGGCGAGCCACGAATTTAGTTCAGGGACTAAAATTCAAACCTTACGAAGAGCTAATATACGAAGCCTAATCAAGACCCTTTAATAACTGGGGAAAAATATTTTAAAAAAAAACGAAAGAGGCTCTAATAGCTTCGATATTAAAGGGAAGACAGCCAAATGTATATCACGATACTGTTTCTAGCACTATATTTTATTTTATAATCACACATAATCTTATACTCTCAGCTCTTTTCCGAATCGCCCCCATTTGTCAGTTGTATGTCCACTCACACCTTGTCAACACTTATTTTCTATAACCTATTGAAATGCTCTTTCTTAACATATACCTTAATAAAGGAAAATTAGACTGAGTAATCATACCTTAAACATTCTTTCATGAATATTGGCTACTCTGCCTCTCGTGTTTTCTTTTACTTGCTCCCTCTTTCAGCCCCCTTGAGATATGGAACTGGTGACTTCATCCTGCACCATCCTTAAAGCCTTGGATATCCCAGAAGGAAATAAGGTTGCGATTAGAAGCCCATACCTTCAATGGACCTATTCTTGACCATCAGTCGCACATTCGCAACGCGACTTTCATGAAGCGCGCCAACTGTAGTACTGATTTAAACCATCGACATTCATATCTTATAAATTATCAACCCAGCTATGTAATTTATTGCAGTGTATATTGTATCATTTGTATCAATTTGATCTTGCCTGTAAACTGGCATGCCTCATGTAACAAACTGTTATTTGAGAATAAATTATTATTATTATTATTATTATTATTATTAAGAGCACCTGCAATCACTTAACCTTTACCCATTAGAGTATAGGAGTATTAGAAGCGACCTTCTGATGGCTTACATTATCCTTAACACTTCTGGACATCCCTTTAAACACCGAATTAAGCTTAGTTCCAATACAAACCTAAGGGATAACACCCAAAAATTGGAGATAAAACATAGCAGAATGGACTGTAGACACAACTTCTACTCATTAAGAGTTGTCAGATGCTGGAATTTGCTGCCGACTGAACTAGTCCAAGCGACTACACAGGAGTCCTTGACGAGGAAACTTGACCTATTCTTAAGGACTAAGGATAACATCTTATTATGAGTTACCAATTTCTTTCTTTTCTAATCTATTGTAGTTGATATACCTAGGTCCCTGCCTGGAGGTATTGGTGATCCCCTTCTACTAGATACGAAAGCCTATTAAGCGAAAGCTTTTTCTATTCCGTTCTAAGCCATTTGAACCATTTAACTCATCTTTGATATTTATAGGATATTTATAGGGATCCGAAGATTGTCACCATTTTAATTGTTCGCTGAACACTTTCACCAGTAAGAAAGGATTAATACTGAGTGCAATTTTATAAAAGGATGTGTAATACAATGGATCACCAATTTATTTTTGTACTAAAAGGGGAAATCTGCACATGTGTTTACAAGAGTAAAGATGCCACAAGTTTTAGGAGTTTGACAACACCTTAACCAGTAACACCTAACCCAGTTAAATCGGAAGTCAGGAATGAAGACGTTTCATGATATGTTTAGAAAGGTATCAGTATGTCAAAGAAACGTTTGGTCTAAGCTGGCTAGTAGTTGAACGGAATAATTAGCACGGTATATCCACTCGTGATCTGGTGCTGATGCGTGATCAAGCGCCTTAAGCTAGATAAATCCAGTAAAAGTAATGAGGTCAGCATCAAATGTCGAGAACTTTCAGAGTTACTGATTTTGGGGATTTATTTACCGCTACATGAACCTAGTAGTCCGGTGGATTTTTCCGTTTTTTTCACGTAGAACAACTTATTATCGTCCTCCTTCGCTATAATTTATCTCCAGAAATGTTTAGTTTAACACTAAAGGCTTATAATCCAAACGTTGCCGAAAATTTAGTAATTATTCATCACTTTCCAAATTTTCATCTATTATTCCCAAAGGTTCGTCTGAGACGTCATTTGGGCTATTGAAGCCGGGTAGCTAGCAAAATTGTTTAAACCCAGAGAAAGGAGATAGAACTATGACCTGACACCAAGATTCAAGCTGTTAAAATGGTTCATCTCAAAGATATTGGACGGTATTCTTGTTAAGATGAGTGATTCGGGAGTGGCGGGTTTTCATCTACTGCTTTACGTCATCTAGGAAGATGGGTGATAAGAGGTTTAAGGTCGTGATCAAATCACCTAGTGACAAAATACCTAGTTTGACTGTGCAATGCCTTTCTCACTGGCTGGCCAGTGACTTGAAAAACTACTTATCAGAGCATCATCCCGCTCAACCTAGTGTCTCATCTCAAAGACTTATCCATGCTGGTAAACTTTTGAAAGACGATACATCAATCTCAGACATTTGTAGTCAGGTAAGGCATGTTTTCTGGTTATTTTCAGGTCGATGGGCTTCCTACGATCCATCTAGTATATCCCAGCCCAAGACTAATGGGTGATTCTAATGTCAACAAACACCGAGGTGACAATACTTTGTTGTAAGTTTTGCACTCCGAATAATCTTGCAGATCTTTGTAAAATCTTTTCTTCAGTATAATCTTTATAGCAGCGGATGGCTAGAACATAGTCGCGTCGCTAACGCCAATCAGCAACTCAAATCCCGGAGTACACATCCATTCGTCAGTGACTACATCACGTCAGTACAACTAGGTTAAGTTAGGAAGTGGACATGAAACGATTCAGAATAAAAATGCCAGTGACATCTTAACGAAATAAGCGTTGGAAATATGGCTTGCAAAAAGCGATATATATATATATATATATATATATATATATATATATATATATATATATATATATATATATATATATATATATATAAACCTGTTACTGCAACTGATTCGTAGCCAACTCACTCATGCATTGCTGCTTCAAATATTTCGTGATACTTGTTCATGAATTCGACCCAAGTGTACTACATCTATCCCCGTTTGTAAGGTGTTTATACCTTTGTACGGGGTTATCTTACATGTACACCTCCATCTAAGTTATGTTAGACCACGAAAACAGAAACTGATCATTCATTCACACAACTTTACATCTCAGGGAAAGATGTTCAAATGAAATCGGGATTATCAGAATCCCGTTGAAGTATAAGCTAGCTGCTTCATTACTATTCGGAGTTGTTCCTAAGTCATGAATCACTACTAACCCTAGTTTTTTTTGTTCCTGGACTCATGGGAGTGGTGTGAATTGAGGAATCTTTCAGGAATTGATCTTCGGACATCAACTTTGGGGTCGTCTTACTAATTCACCTAAGCCAGCTTGAAGACCAAAATTATCAGCCATATTATTCTCCGGAATTCGAGGTCACAGAATCCGTGTCGATGACTATAACATTCTTGGTAGTTCATGGGGGTAGAAAATGCTTTGCATGGTACCTACGTTGTAGCTGATTGCTATCTCAAGACAAGGGAGACTGCATAAACACTAAGTAAGACATCTTACTAAACGCCATGCCGAATTCTACGACTATCATATTGAAAGGCAAACCACTATCCTAGTCTGCTGTGCGGTCCTTTCGCAGTTAGCTAAAAATGAATGCCCATTCCGAAACCTGTGTTATCTAGGACCTGACAAGTTGAGATGTAAGGACTTAATTCTTCGGTTTTAAAATTTTACTTTCAAAATATGAATTTTGTTGTGTAGGATTCTAGTAGTATATACCCTCCATCCAGGTTCGTTCGTTTGTTTCTTGATTTTCTCTCTGACGATTTGCTTGTGTTCAACACACGTAGCTTTATATATATATATATATATATATATATATATAATTGCCTTGGTACGGCCGAAAGTGGGGAGAGTCCACTCCTCTCGAAATGCTCTCACATGGTCACGCGTATATAGCCTCTGCCAGGGAAATCCTACTCATTGCCTTCTCGTAGTGGGGATGTTGTTTACGAGATTGAGAGGACGAAAAGCGAATGTCCGGCGCTTTAACCGGGTTGGTGGACATGGAGAATGCACCTAGGGGAGTTGGAAAACGTTCATTCCAAACCAGTGGTGCACATGGACTCCAGTATCCTGAGGGGACAAATGGCGTATGAACCAATTATTGGGACTGTATCTCCTTACGTTGCTCCACTGCCTTGTGGATCTGACCTTTAGGCCAAAGGCTCCGGGTGTGGCCTCCTAAGAAAACTACCTGCTCCGGCTTGGGCACCCGGACAGTATCACAGCTCTCACACAAATCAAATGAGATTTGTGTGGCGCATATGCATCTGATGCCCACTTGTACCAATATCTATGTGTTCAAATAAATAAATAAAAATACTAGACTACAGTCACTAAAGTGTCCACTTGTTTTTCGTTTTCGTCTAATCAATTTAGTATTATTATTTTCCAGTTTTTGTAAAATTTCCCACAAGAAATGTATGAACCGAATCCGGCATGCATCGCGCGATTCTAGGTTTTTGTTTCATTTTTCACCACCCGTGTTCAGCTCCAATTTGTGAGGCATTATAAATCAGATCTCGGATAAAAGTCCGTCTAAACTTCCCTATACTTTTGTATCATAATCTAATCGTTATTTTCTGGGATTTTTCTTACAGTGATATTTCACCCGAGCAAATGCATAAATATCAGCAGGCGTATTATCATTACTTACAAACTTTTTATATGGAGAATCCTCCAGTAAATCGAACTGAGTACCGCATACAGGATTACCGTTGCCCTATCGATTTTGGATCAGGTATGGATCTATTCCCCATATATTTCTTTACGTAGGAGTTTTTATGATGTTATAATGAGATTAAGGAGACATTTCAATTAAGATTAAATTGTGATTTTATAATAGTAATGATAAATGTCAATGATGAATATATCATTTTGTGGATTATGTTTCTATTTTTCACTTACATACAAAGATTTTGACCAGATAAGCTTATGAGAACGTTGGTTTATACTTTATGAGGACTTTTTGCAATAATCATGAATGGCATTCCCATATCGTTAACAAGCAGTTCCGTATATCTACACATTTTATTCGATTTCGAATGTTATCTCAATTTAAGTAAATTTTTTTGAAAGATGTATTTTTACTTTATTGGATGCTCATTTCAAGTGCTAAAGGATCTCACTAAATGTACTAGTTGATGTAACGTTTGCTGGTGAGTTACTGTCATAATGTTACGATTATCAGTTTTAATATAGTACACTTAATTGTTTTTAACAGGGACTATGATACAAATGCTTCCCGGAAACTATAGTTTCCCTAACAATGCTTATGTACCACAAACTCATAGCTCTTCCCACCAAGCAATCCCAAACAGTTCATCTAGCAACACGCAACAGTGGATTCAAAGAGCACAGGCACTTTTATCCGGTTGGGGAGTGTTTAATGGTAATCGTCGTCAGAGGGAAGCGGGTGAGGTATTACCGAATGGAGATGGAGTTAACCAAAGAGCTGACCAAATTCAACCCCAAGCAGCACAAGAAGTGTTTAATAATGCAATACGAAATAATGATAGACCCGATGAAGAGGTTAACGGGGTGGGAAATATGGACATAATTGATCGTTTTTACTTGCTTTTTCGACTTTGTCTTTTCGTGGGGCTTTGTTTCGCATATTCATCTTTGGACAAGGCACTTATTGTGTTCTCAGTTGCTGCTTATGTATACCTGTAAGTTCCCAACTATTATTTTTCTAATAACAATGCCAGTTTCATACAAACTCTAGGATAACCCCTTGGTGACTTATAGTAACTGTTAGATTCATTTTGTGGATGATTACTAACTCATGCATTGCATCCAAAAAGCTCTGACCAAACTTATCTTCTCTGCTGGTATGAGCGGAGTTTCTTATTTGCGCCACCAAATATTTCATTCGACAGGACACAAGGAATGTGTTATGGAGGGGAATAACAATTGGAAAAGAGAGAATAGGTAAGGGGCACTTAGTCATGCGCGACGTGTGGTAACGTGGACCGATACACATATGTGACTGGTCCTACGTTGCAGCTGACTAACTGACGTAGAAGCTGGCATATGTATGTGTTTTTGACTCAATCTACCACACCAGCGAAATGAAATTACTAAAAGTAATTCCAGAATAGTAAAAGCAGTAACAATATCGTTAGTTGTAAAAAAGACCTAGAGAATACGATTCCAGAAGAAAGAATGAACTCACGGAATAAAATAACTTTGGAACTCTAAATCTAGAGGAAGAAAGAGTGGATATACGCCCTTTTGACTGGTCCTAAGTCATGTTATCCGCCGTTCCCAGCCGTTACGATAATTCGCCGATAGTTTGACTGCTATTAGTTTTCTCCTAACTTGCTCCTCAGCCGGCAAACATTGTGTGTCGATTGAGGCAGTTATTGTGGGTACGTAACACTTGTCCTTACCACATCAGTCGACAAGCACTCACTACCTCGTTTACATCTTCATCAAGTAATCTGTATTCAGCCTCAGAATCGCTCGCTTTATTGTCCCAATACAATGCTTCAAAGACATCTGTGATCAAATACTATTAATCTACAAATGTTATACATATTTTTAAAGGTCACATTTCATAGCTATAAAGTAGGGCAGGAAACTTTCCTTGTAAATACGTCCTTTGATTGGCAAAATAATATCACGCCTACACCGCAGATGACGCAAGTTGACGAATGCCAACTGAGCCTTCTGAATCTGCGTCGAGATTTCGTCAGTTACCAACTCACTAGCACTGATGAGACTTCCAGGATGAGTGAAGTGATCGACATGCTCGATCATTTCATTCTCCATCATTAAGCCAGGCGTTGATGCAACTCAGTCCTGAAACAAAACATTGTATTTAGATGAAAGAAAATGCATCCCAAACATGACAACATTGTTGCACTTAGTAATCAAAATTCTCTGTATTCTGTCAGCATCCTCATCAAAGAGAACAATATCATCAGCGTATTCTAAACTGACAGATGAATATCCTGGTAATAAATCGATTTTTAAAATGTCACGATGTAAGAGTTATTTCTAAAAGAATGTCTATGACAGTTAAATAAAAATGGGGAAAGCGAACAACCTCGATAGACAACACTTTGAGTTGTCAATTCCAATGACACCTCCATAACTTCCGAATTGCCTAGTAGTATTCGAGTAAAGAGCCTGTACAAAGGTAATGTACCTTTTTGGTGCAGCTTCCAATAAAAAAACACTACCATAAGTTCAGGAATCACAAACATAGTTGGGAGTCGGTGGGTAAGTCCATGTTCCAAAATCTGACAAAGGACAAATATTTTGTCTACACATCCATCCCCGGGTCGGAAACCAGCCTGGCTTCTACGAGGATTATTTAGGTCGATAATTTTAGACACTATATGGGTCAAACTGATTCCTCTGTGGTCATCACAAGAAAATTTCTATCCTTCATTGTAGACTGAAGTGATCAACAATCGAGACCAGTCAAATGAGACTAGGTTCATTTTCCATACTAATATCTCACTTAACTTGAAAACTAAGAGTGAACAATCATCTTAGAAAATTTCTGGCTTTAATCCGTCAGTACCTCCTAATATCCTTTACTTGAAATTAGCAATGGCTTTTTCTACTTCACTAAGAGAGTGGGAGGTTTACGTCAACACCACATTCAGATTTCGTGGTAAAAGTAAGTAACTAAAGGGTGGCTAAATAGCAGTCAAATTGTTCTTCCCATCATTTTAGTATCCTGCGTTGAGAGTGGATCATTTGTGCATATTTTTCTGAAATACTCGCCAACTACCGAACCTTTCCTTGACTAGTCTGAAAAGTTCCAAACAAATTTATTTGAATACAAATGGTTAGATTTAGCATCTGGCAAACTCAATAATTAAGTATACAGTGTGTATTTATCGCTGAGAGAAACCAAGCACAGTAATTTTCACCTTACATTTGAGTTATTAGATTCATGTTAACATGTACAAAATTAGATCAAATAGCCTATTATTTCAAGAACAAACAGTAATATCTCACTGAAAACCCTATTTTTTTTTATGAATAACAACTTTATATGTGATCCAAACAACGAAGAGAGCAGATTGATACCGATGTTAATAAAATTACGAAGCTATTGAAGACGGTTCTTATTACGTGATCTTTGACTAAAAAATTCCCATCGACTAGGTAGACGTATTTTTTTGAACACCCGATTCGTCGATCCAAGTGTGTAACTAAAGAGGAAAACGGTTGTTAGACACGCTCTGTCAGGATTGTTTAGTGGCTGGTAGCATTAATCCATTATTACATGGGGGGTACCATCGATGAAACAAAAGTTGGAGATTTTAAAAAGACATCATTCCCCGTTCTCAGTTAGTCAGTATAATTAAACAGCTCAGTCTAAAAGCACACTAATATAAATTCAACTAATCAGCACTCAGTCAGCTACAACGTAGGACCAGGCAAATATGTGCATCGGTCCAAGTTGCCATACCTCATTAACACAACAAGATGAACACTAGATTTATAGTAGTTAGCTCAGTGGTGGTAATATATAAAAGAAAGACTGCGTGTAAGGACATAGTACAGGAAGAAAAAAATAGTTCGTAGTAAGAAAGATATGAAGCGATTTTAATCTCACAGTTTAAAGGAAGACAGAGTGTATGCACCGACGCCATTGTGATCGATTCTGAGCCATATCACCCAGTCTCCAACCATAAGCACTACCTCCATTGTAAGGTGTGATGCGCTACCCAAAATAAGCAGCGATATGATAGTCCCATATAAGCCCAAGATGTTAATCATGGTTAACGTAAAACCTAACACAACTGTTTATTAATTGAGGTTTATAGCCTGATCAATCAACTTACGTCGTACACCTAACCTCATTATGTAATTGTTGTTTCTACTACATATGAGCAATGCTTTAAAGACTTATTCGTACCTTCTGCATTCAAAGGTCATTAAAAAACATACTGAAGTGCATCTTTTCAGCTCCACCTGGGGGTAAGGTAGATAGCAAGTTACGTAGCAAGTCATAAGACATCAGCCCAGTTCTGTACAATTCAGAGTAGATAGTGAAGTAAAATAGTTATAAGTAGCCAGAGTTTTCATCACTTGAATGATTAGTTCAACGTCTGTAGTTGAAAATTCTCTTGATCGATATTGATTTCCGTTGTCATAAGTTATATTTCTGGAGGTGTATATCAACATAATTTTTCTTCTAAAAAGCATCTTTTTTCAGCTAACGGAATTCATAAAGTCCGTGATGGTGCTATTAGGCTCTTTCAGGAGTTTCTTTTTCTTTAAAATGAAAAAAACTCCAACTGACGACGCAAACGTAAATTTGAATTTGTTTCAAGAAAAAACTGTTTAATCTTTACTACACGAATAAAATAGAACCGACTGCTCTCAAAAGAGTACTGTGATAAACAAAGCAAACTTATCGAGGCAAATATAGCATTACTAAAGTACACCTTCAAATGGTCCTCAGCTTGTTCATTGTAATGTGTCTAATATGTTCATGAAGTTCCAAATATATCCGTACCAACAAATTGCACTTTTTTGCCGTTAGATTACAGTATTTCCAATCCAAAAAATGTTCACATAAATTGCTCCACGAATCTAATCTGGTTGTAAAAAATAGGCTCCACAAAATCACACTAGTATATATTTCGGATGCCTTTGTTAATATACCGAAACTAGTTAGAAATGTGTTCCTTTTGGAATATTACTCCGTGAAAATTTAGTTTTAAGGAAAATCCTTGGTTTATACACTTCCACAAGTGAAATAACGTAATGATTGTCAACTTTGACATACGGCGTGTTAATTCACTTTAGTTCAAGGTTTTTACATTGATTTATTCATACACTAGATAAATTTTAAATTTCACTGGCCTCTATTCACATAACCAGTATAGTTCCAACAGTCATTACTCGTGGTATAGTCTTTTAGCAGTTACTAATTGGAATCTATTGTCATCAAGTTTGCGACTAAGTTTTAATCTGTAACGTTTTTTGACGTATCACAAAATCAAAGGATCACTATTGGCCCCATAAATGTGAGTTGTTTCCCATTTTAATTAATGCAGCTGTTTTTTTCTGTAGTATTTTAGCGCATGGTTTCTAAAGACTAAAAATGTCCTGTTACTTGACTATCAGTTGATGCTATTTCGACTGTAACTTTCATTGTTATTTTTCGTGTCATATCTCGAGTGCTGTAGAAATAGTTTAGTATCAAATCAAATATTCCTTAATTATCATCAAGCTTATAATACACTCGATGTTGTATTATCGAAGTTTGGTTTCGATTGGTATATTTTTGTAGTGGGCCAGCCAATCACCTTAAGTATTGGATTTGTTTTGTGAATACAGGTTAATTCGGTATTCGTGTTTGCCCTATATATCGTTCTTAATTCCGATCATTTGAGATGTCAGACAACCATAAGGATTGGCGTTAAACGAATTTGGTTAGAGTTTATTTTCATCGTTGGAGTTTTTATTGTCGGATGAATTGATTGGTTAAATTATCTAGTTAGACCAGCGGATGCCAAGAAAGTTTTCCAATCGACAGCAGATAACGAAGCATGTAAAACATCAAAATATCCTGTTTAAATTATCATTTGCATAATTACGAAAATATTCTAATTCTAGGTATAATATCTACCGCAGATACGCTGTTGTAGAGCGTATAGTACAGGCTGAACGACGACCACAACAAAATCCGCAAGGTACACAAAGCAATTTAAATACTCCAGTAAGTATGCTGAGAATTTCATGTTGCACTATTACTATTGTTACTTTTAATATTGTTGATTCGGTAAACTATCTACATTCTTTATATTTTCGGGAGAATAAATTAAATTAGAAACATCTATATTCAAGATTGCAAAAAAATGCAGCCAGCGCTGTGAGTGACAAACAAGTGGCAACGATTCGTTCAGTATAACCGAACATATATCAACTGGAATAGTTGGTAGCTTCTATTCAGTGGATAATACGTATTTAGGTGATACATGCAATAATCAAACAAGCTATTCCAGAGAAGTATAATCAGATAACTTTAACAAATGATGCTACTACTTGGATATATGTTGAAGTCATTATAAGTGAATCAGCTGTACGACAAAAGTTCACTGTTAAATTTAACAAGATGAATTGGACTTGACTTAACATAGTTTCAATCAGAATGTCATAATTCTTATAGGGATTGTTCCAAATGTATAGTGAAGCATCACAGTACTTTACCCAAAAGCTAGCGCCCAGATTACACAGATAAGATCGCAAAATATGATAAAGAACAAGAATATGGTGACTATCTTTAGTTCCGAGTAATATTGTGAGCCCTGGAAGCTTATTACGTTGGTTAATTTAACATGTGTATCGTCTTATAAGTCCATGGTTATCCATATAGTGTGATTAATGATATATGTGTTTCAGGCACTCGAGCCACAGCTTGTTTTACAGTACTGCACTGGATAACCCAATACATCAGTCCATTGTAGCTTTGCCAGTAATTCACTGAATAACAGATAAGGCGATGTTGAAACATCTCGCGATTTTTGTGCACGACACTTCAAAATATCATCCCGCTAACTGTCCAGCCATCTTGTAAGCGACTACAAATTCCCTACAAATCTACTTACACACATAAGTTCAGGAAAAACCTATCAGCCCTCAGTTTAATAAGTCCTGTAACGATATTTCCCTAACATTATATTTAGGAAATTGGTGCTGAGGTCTGGGAAACGACCGCTTCCTAGACCTAATGTAGCCAAGCTTCGTTATTTTCGTGGCAAATCCCACTTGATTTTTGCAACGTCTTCACTAATTGGTCAGGAAGTGGCTACAAAAACGGAGTATCATTTGTGACAGCTCTCCAGAGAACTTCTACCATACCAAACCCAAGGATTTGTTCTATTGATCGAACAAATCAATCCTTAATTATCGAATCAAATTAATTTATCAAGTTTACGATTTTAGTTTTTCTGGAAAAATATTCACATTAGTTCCAACAAATTCTTAATCAATTTGATTTTAAAAACCACATGGTAGTGTTTATTCCAAATTCCACTATCTGATATAGATTTGTGATCGGGTACTAGTGTATGTACGCGTCATAACTTAAATTCTTCGACACGATATTGTAAAACATTTGTGATTTTTTATCAACAGGCAAATGAACAATCAGAGAATCAACAAAGCCAGCTTGCTCAGGAGTCTACAGATCAAGCAAACGGTAGCCTACGTGGTGAACAAGAATCGAGATTTACGAGGATAACTACAAATCTACGTTTGGCAGCAAATCTTTCTTATCAGTTCTTTTCAGCTCTGATTTCCTCAATTATTCCAGAACAACCACCACCACTACATCTAGACTAGAGTTCATTATCTTCTAACTTGATTACTGAACACGATATTTTATTTAGTATGTTATACAAGATATAATACTGACCCTATAACCTCGCTCCTTATCCACTTTTTATCTTTAATTTAATCCGAAATTTGTCTTTTGTTTCACAAAGTGCCTTCATTCTTATGTCTGTACACACAACATTGGAAAGCGAGAACGTAGCGACTTGTTGAAGGTTCTATTCACAACAAAAATCTATTTCAAGTATTTTTTGAGTACAATGTTTTGCTAATATTAGTTAACCAGTAACCTGTTTAGGTTTTTTGTACCATTGACTAAATATTAGTTACCAAAAATATCTGATATGTCCAGTGACTTGAGAATGTATTTTTACTGGCAGCTAAATCAAGAGGACCTCTCCTAGAGCCAACTCCAGCTCCCCGAAATTGGACCCCCCGTAGGCAACATGATTCACACCTTCATTGCAAAGTACGTATTCTCGATGCCTTTCTGCTGTTTAATAAATAATTGACCACATTTAAATGGTAAACATAGCATGGACGCAAAGCTCAATCATATTTTTTCATGCGATATCCACCAGATGACTTGTTAAATAGCGAACAAACTGCATGAAGGTGCGACAGGTGGGAAATTAATGTCGTGTTTATGGCGTAAACGCTGAAGAAATATCAATAGAATTAGTAGTGAGAGTACATCTATTTTCTATTGAAAACTACCCAACATATCTTAAACTGTTATGTTCCGTAAGTAATATATACAAAATGAGAAATTATGGTAGAAAAATTATTCTTCACACGCATGATGAAAATTGTCAGCAAAATGTGCATATTCAACATTTCTGTCTGATTAATTTAATATTCATGAACGCTTCCGTAATGTTTTCCTGTAAGTATAACAGAGAATTTAGGTAAGATATTTCTACAGCACGGTAATATTAGTTGGACACATGAATATTGTCACAATAAAAACCAGATATTGAAGATAGAAAAACAAGGTTGTCCATAACAACAAAACAAATCCAAATTACCGTATGCATGAGTGAAAAGTAGTATGACAAACATGATAGTTACGAAAATAAGACCAGTAAGGGTTCTTCCCGTTAAAAAACTGATGTAAAGAAAGCTTTATGAAAAACTGCCAGACACTCGGGGCAAACCGATGTGCGTCAACGGGTTGCAGGGATCCTGTAGGAATTCGACGCTTATTAGCGGAACGTTTCGCGAAGCTGTAAGCGAATTTTTCATGGCGTCATGCAAATGCAACCAGTGCTCATCCAATTGATTAGTGTTGTCTCGGCTCTAGTGCTTAGTGAAGCGCGAGCAAAGCAAACGCAAACAGTGCTCATCTATGCTTTTTCACGGGATGGTAGCTAGCCTTGAACCTAGCTAGATTTGATATTTAGTTGCAACAAAAGCTGCAACCAATTCGCTGACGTCGATCCATTTGGAGCGATGAGTTTGTTGGCGACTACGACACAAGATAAGACTAGTGTAAATACGAGCACGATCAGAATCCAGTTGGGTACTCCAAAATGAGCGGCATCTTTGTACACAACAACGCAAGCGATGTGATCAATGCTAGCCAGAAACAGGTTGTAGTCTACTTAAAGTTGCAGTAGTCAGTAATCGTTTTTTCACCAGCGACCACCTAAACGACTCACTTCTGTGCCTAGACGCCCGACCTAAGCATTCAAGTCCCTGTCTAGTACTACAATATCTGTCAAACTCACTTCCTGTAAACGAACAGTTAACTGGTGATGAAACGCATCCTTGATAGGATCCGGGCTACAATCTGTCAGAGCATAAATGATGATGACTAAAAGACATTGTTTCTCAAACCGACGTCTTCGTAATTTGATGGGACTTTCTAATCTAACAGCACATAACGAACTGGTAACGAGGATTCGATCCATTAGTGCTACCTTAGCTCTAGTGCGTAGTGAAACAGCAAAGCCAGATAAGGATGCCGAATAAAGACGATCCAATCGAACTAAATTGCTTGGAACTCAGTTTCCTCTAGGTCTTAAAATGTCATAAGATTACAAACAAACTGAATGTCTGACGGGGCAGTCGAGTGAAGAGAATTGTGCTACCCTCAGACAACCAGCATCTGCAGTGATGTCTCTTCACAATGAAAAGAAGGGGTTTGGAAAAGTCGAACCTAAGTGTCACACACACGGATTTCTGATCCTAGCGTTGATACGGTCTTCTTAAATGCAGAGCTAACACACCAAGAACGTTTTATGAGAAGGCCGTGAGCAAACAGCTGTCTACAACCCTGAGTTCATGCTGCCAGGTCGCATAGAGGATCCAAGTACGGTTATCCAGTTCACCTCACCTCTTCAAAGTAAATAGACGGTGCGATTTACACTTCATGTGTCTGGAGACCTTACTGCTACTTCCCTTGACCTCACTGGTATAGGTGAATCATTGTATTAGAAAGCAGAACAAGATTTGCTAGACTAGATTCTTACAGACAGTTGCATGTGAGCTGTTCAACTAAACGGAACAATAAGAACATGAAAAGATAGTGACACACACACCGTTGCCTTTTCATTGTCTCTGCCTATAATAACACTGATTGCAGTTCAGATGAATTTTATAAGAATCTATAGTGGAAGGTGATTTCAACGCTCAAACAGGTAGAATAAACCAAACCTAAATGCACTTAGGCATATCTCACAGTGCCACAGCCCAGGGAACAGATAATGGCGACCGTTTGCTGTAAATATGTTCGGATAATCACATATTTCAAGCAAGCGCACACTTTAGATATAAGTAAAAACATCGTCAGACCTGGCGACCCCCACAATCGACTCAAATAAATCACACGCCGATCAGTTATTGTTGGAGATGGTCGATAGAAGACTATCGCTAATTCTAGAGTACATGTTTAAACTCAGATCATGCACATATTTGTCTGCATCTTACCGGATGCAGAAAAGCCACAGAAAGAAAACCTCTTAGAGTTAAACATAACGATGAAAAGATTAAGAACATAATGCAGGAACAACTAGAACAGGAGCTAGTCAACCACGAAAGTGATATCCATCTCGAGTTAGTTTGGAGTAATATCTAAAAAGCCGTGGGAACAGCAAGTGCATCCACTCTTCGTTTTTCTGTCGAATTCTGAGATAACGAATCTCTTACAAATGGTTTTGTTTTCATTTCACTAATTAAGATTTCTTCTCGAATCGTATCTTCTATTGCTGATCTTTTCTATCACCATGCTGTTACTTACTACCTCTACCATTCTGGGATTTGGTCTGACAATCTCATCTCTGTGCTAATGGGATATGGTAACTTAAACATATGTATATACGTACCAGAGTCAACGTTGTAACTGACTGATTGACGAGAGGGACAGTGTTTTCTACTGAACGTAAATGAAACACAACTGAAGGTGGATCCCTTTTTTATTCTACAATTGTTTGACGAACGGTCTTAATCTTTTAGTGGTGTTGTATCTTATAAGCTAGATGCTTTGATTGCATGGCTTCCATCATTGTCCTGGGTATCAACAGAGCATACTCAACCGCTTTATGAGCGTAGCTGAACCTACATGACTATGTAGCTTCGGATAACAAAACACATCTTCGTTAATATTGAGAACTACAGCAATCATGAAAGAACAGGTCGACCTAGGAAAAAAAGAAGGGAATTTCTAGGGTGTTGAAGATTTATGGGATTTAGTGTCCATCTCGATTGTGATCAGTTGTAATGCAAGTCATTTAGCTAATAACTGAGAACACATCACTAGCTGGCAAAATATGGTATGTGGATAAACAGTAGGGTGTATTAAAATAGTGGCTTTAAAGATATTTCCCACAGACCACCTAATGATTTGACTTCCTTTGACTCTAGCTATTCAAATCCAAGTATCAGTGCAAAAAGTAATACAACGCAAAATAATCCTCAACCGAACTTGTACCGTGCTCCCAACTATCGAGAAGACAAACGAATGTCGAAAGCTTATTACTTCTCTAACCGATATTTTATCTCCTTGAGATTTGGGCAAATAGGTAGCAAGTCACGTAAGTCCTGATTCAATATTATGTACGTGATTTAAATGCTCACGATAGGGATAATTAAACAGTCTATTTCTGGATGATTTCATTAAAATGTTTGAGAAATATAGGATTTTCCAACAACGTCAGTTTCTATTGCAGGTTGAACGATTTACTTCAGCGATCAAAAACACGAAAGAAAGAAGTCAATGGACTAGAGGCCATGAGACAACATATATTATAATGGTACCCTTATATTCAATATGAAATATTCTCTTCACCCAATAATCCCCAATGTGGAGGAATGAGAGAAGGAAACTAGAAAAAAGATTGATTTCTCTGGTACCTGATTTATGTCATTTTTAATAAAAATTTCATGGACTAAAACATTATACATGGAAACTTACTTTTTCATTACTTGTGCCTCCAGGCGCCCACGGACACCTACCTCCTTCTTTGATATATTAATAAGACCTGGATAATGTCTCCTAGCTTTTTTCTTGACTTCTTCATCTAGTTCTGAGTAAAAATAACCGGAAAACTAAATTATATACATAAATAATTTGATTGACAACTGAGGAGTTATAATAACGATAAAAGTATCCACCAATGCTTTAAACTCTATAATGACTCCAGAGACAAAAAATGCAGCTGGAGTAAATTATCTTCTTTAACAATAGCAAAAATACGATAAGCGTCCTTATTAATTGTGATATGATATGAAATTGAACGCAAAAAAGACAATAATCTCAATGGTATGGAAACAATGTTGTTCAAGTCGGTTCTTCTTTGTTTACTAAATTCCCTCAGCTGATTACAAGTTTATTTTGTACAAAATAAGTGCCGTTAAAAATTATAGTCTATTTTAGTCAGTTGCGATTGTAATGACACGTGGTGCCCAAGTCTGGTACTGGTATACACACTTCTTATACTAAAGACGGCTATTGAGTAAAAAGACTAAGAGTGAAGAAGGAAGTTTATTGAAATGAACGAAATCAGATGCATAAGCGCTCATTTATATATTTATTCAATAAAAATTAGGAAATTTTTCGGACAAGAACAGGAACTTGTCATCATACTTTTAATTAGCAAAACACATCCTCATTTTTATCAGTGATTGTACAGAAAAATATTTTTAGTTTTGATATGACTACTTTGAATTTTAGTTTAACTCATAGATGTAGTCTACAGGTATACAATTGGCGGCTGTGTAGAAAATACGAACTAAAACAGTACATCATAATTATTA